TCTTACGAAAATATTTTCATAAAAACTTGTGTAAAGAAAAGATTTAAAGTAAATAACATATCAAATCTTCACGAGTTAGCCCACCCACACGACTCACCACTGTCGACTTTATTTGAATTACTGTCAAAGATATTAGTAATAGACAGGAATCGAAGAGATTTTGCTGATTTTATTCTGGATGGAGAGAAAATTGCTGAAGTCCAGGATTTCATATACCTGAGATCACTTGTTAGCGCTAAAGGATCAAGTGAGAAAGAAATCAAAAGGATATTAGCAATTGCAAGGAATGCAACTCAGAAAATGGTGAATATCGGGAGAAGCCGGGGAATAAATAACAGTTTAAAGTTAAAGATAGCACTGACATCTATATTTCTATCCCCATCGCTACATACGAAAGTGAGACATGGGCCAAGACCAAAAGAGATGAAATGAGAGTAGATGCGTTTGAAATGTGGGTATATCGGTGAATACTGAAGGTTCCATGGAGAGACAGAAGAACAAACCGATGGGTACTGGACAAGCTGGTTACAGAGATGTTGCTCAGAAAGAGTATTGCCAGAAGGAAACTGCAGTTTTGGGGCCATGTAGTACTAGTAGTGAGAGATGGTCTTGGAAAGTCCCTTATAACAGGCCAGTGGAAGCCAGGCGAAGAAGAGGTAGACCAGGGATATGTGAGTTTAACTCACATATCCCGGGGTAGACCTGCTATTTCCTGGTTCAAAGATATCCACATATGGACAGGGAAAAAGCTGTCAGAGGCAACGAGAGCAACAGCTGACAGAGAAGGATGGCGTAAACTTAGGACGGCGTAAACTTGTGATGGCCACAGCAGCGCAGCTAGCGCCACCTGACTGAAGAAGAAGACTGTCACAATCATGAGCATATTGTGATACCTTATTTGTGACACTAGCAGGTCACTAATTGGCGTGGGGTCCAGGGGGCGGAGCTCCCAGAAGCTCAGGAATTTTAGGCATTAAATTACGGTCAGATGACGGTCAGATGATCATACAGGGGCTGCCCTAGGGCCCTTGGTGGGGTCCATGGGCGCCCCCGGAAGCTAGGGGATTTAGGCAATTATTAATTAACTGACTGTAAATGTGGGAATACAAAAAAGTTAGAAAAAAATCACGTAAAATCATGCCATTTCAGCAACATTGGTAAAACTACTGGTATCGAATTAGAAATAAAACATTGTTGCCCCCCCCCCCACATAGTACGCCAGTGATCACAATGGTAATGATTTCATTCAAATTCAAATTCAAATTTTATTCATTTCAATCCAAACAAAAAGGATCATTCTCATTTCTCAATGTTGTTATACACAGGATAACAAATTTCAAAATTATAGTGTAATAATTGAGTGTAAAGATAACAATAACCAGGAATTACACAAATCAACATATATACTAATGCATGTTTCTTCCGAAATATAATACAATTACAGGGATGAAAATAAATTATATTACTCGAAATACTTTTTACAATTTATTTCCGATTTACTTTTTCAATAAAAAGTTTATAGTCTACAAATAACACAACATGATGAAGAAGATGGTGATGATGCCCGATGATGATGAGAATGACGGTGATTATTACGATTTTGATGATAATGTCGATACGTGATAGTGATTATGCGCTGATGTTACGATGGAGACAAGAATCAAGATGATAAAAATGAGTGGTTATGGCCCAGACGTGCAGGGAAGCAGGGGGGGGGGGGTACTCAAGGCATCGGTCTCTGATATGGTGATGCTAATAAGATAGAGATATCGTACTCACACTTCTTCTCTTCAGCTCAATTCACTGCACGTTAGCAACGCTGGCTTCTCGAGTCCGGTCTTCCCCCCATTCTCCTCCGCTGACTTTCACGGGGCTTTCACGGTGACTTACAGGCGGTCATTTCGAACAGCATAAGGGAAATCTCATCAAAATGCTAGACGTCCGTCCTTCACGCGAAATCCTCTATTATTTTGTCCATAACGTTGTCTCTTTGTTGGGCAAAGAAGGCTAAAGGAAATTCTGGGCAATGATTCTCATAGCTGTAGGAATGTCCATAGAAAGAGAGTCATTCTTTCGCTGATATTACTCCGGTCGTGCTTTATGTATAGCCCTGTAATCTGTACTGTCCGTTCAATTTGAACATCCCGCTGTCATGTGGTCTGCGTGTTTACTTGCGCAATGCGATGTCCTTGATGATGCGATCGCTACTACTTGTCTTGCATAGACCTGCAGATGCAGAACAGCTGGTCTTGTCGCCATGGTGCCCGATAGTCGTGTGTACATAGCAGCCGATCGGGGGGGGGGGGGAGCACTTGTTTCGGGGGGTGGTATGGGAATGTACTACTAAGTACATTCTGAGTTTCACAGTCAGCGAGTGAATCCAATCAGAAGAGGGATGAGGGACGTATATCTTCTCGTCTTATTGCCGCGAACTCCCCATCTTCCTTTCTTTCACCGCGTACGTCTTAAATCCTCCCATAAGCTATTTCTTTTAGCCATTAATTCGATTGGGGAAGAGATGGAGGAGTACTACGTGCTTGTCTCAAGCAAGCTACTGCCCCCCCCCCCCACTCAGTGTTATTTAGGGTACGCATATTCGTGTTCCCAGCATCCCCCCCCCCCCCCCCTCTTTCTGAATAAGTCTGGTGTGTAAAATCAGTACGGGTATATTTTTTCTTTTGTTATACGAGCCTTTTCAGGAACCCCCCCCCCCCCCCGACCCGTTCATGAAGGAATCCCGCCCAGACGCCAATGTCAAACTACTAATCCATTTTTGATGAACGAATATTAATCATTCAATTTATGTTACGAGCAATGCGGAAGATAAGGCACACAAAAGCCTTCTGGATCTTCGGAATAAACCACTATCGTCATTTAAACCTATACAAGCATGGAGTAATTGTTATGTACATGTAGTACATGTATCACTCCTAGCTATCTCCCTTCCAGTCATTCACCCAGTGGCGGATTCAGGGGGGCCCTCTCCCCTGGCAATTTTTTGGTGCTCAAGAGGGGGAGGGGTGGATGGCCCGAGTCGAATTTAAAAAAAAATAGTGGGCACTTTCCCTCATCCCTCCTCGTCGAGTACAAAACAAAAACAAATTAGCTCTCACCCCCCCCCCCCCCCCCCGAGCGAAGATATAGGCCGGCGCGATTTTCCAATGGGGGCAAAACAAAATAGCGCCCCCCCCCCCCGTTTATTCACCAGCTGGCTGTTTTGCCAGTTTTCTAACGAATTGGGCCCTCTCTTTGTCCCCCCCCCCCCCCTTACCGCCGGCTAGATCCGCCCCTGCTTTTACCTTCCCCCACTTTCATGATCTAAAACAGAACCCCCATTATTCCTAGACAGTACCCCCATTAGTCCTAGACAGTACCCCATTATTCCTAGACACTGACCCCATTATCTTTTTTTATATAAACATTGATCACCCCAGAGAGCTAACTTCAAGGAACCACATTCCAAGAACTAGGCCCTATGACTCATATCTTCGAGTAGTTCTTCAATAAATGTTATACCTTCAGCTGTATTTATACTTTGAGTCTCTGTACAATTTACATCGAATGCCCGCAACGAAGTGAAACTATACCGATTCCAACAACACATTATCAACAGTTCTTTACAGAGGCGGCGCTTTCTAATAAGTGCCCCTTTTCCTTTCTTTTAAGTGGATAAGTGCCCTTATTCACCTGGGATAATTGCCCACTTGACTATACCCCCTGACCAGTGTCCAAATGTGGGCAGTAGGCCCCTATGTAAAAACTAGTTAATTAAATACGGGCCCAGGGTTCTAAAGCCAACTGTTCAGATGCCCAAACAGGAACGAATAACAAACACAGTTAACACTTAATAATTTTTAAAGGAATAATTCATAATTTAATGGGTCGTAATAGCCACATATTCACTGAGCAATAAATCACAATCACAAGAAAAAAATGTAATTTTGAAACTTTTTAAAATGATGACGTTAATGGCAAGACAGGCAACCGTCAATAAGAGGAGAGAAATACCACGAGACTTGCAAAATCCTTCCAACTACACTGAAGTAAACTCTGCACCTTCGCACAAGCTTTAAAAGTAAAGCGATCATTTTTGCAACAATTGACCTCACGGGTCCACCATGACAAGCCAGACAAATTGAAACGACAAAGGGTGTGTCAAAATGACTTCTAAATAATTTTCACACAGGTTAGACTCACGAATTATATCAATCAATCCACCACTTTTTTTATTTACGTTCCTTCCAAATGTTTTTCAAATGGCAGGTAGTTAGCATTCTATTTGAGAATACACTCAGTCTGAAAAAAAGGAAAACCCCTATCCAAGCCCCACTGTCTATAGCACCGAGTGAAATTACTGAATATATTACATTAGTATGATAGTCGGGAAAAAATTCTGTAATTTGGTAGGTTTCTCACCTATATACAATCATTAATCACTGAGTATCACTTACTTATAACAACCATGTCAAGATCGCCTCTGCCCAAATTTTGGTTGAATAGTGTTCAAGAGTAATGTTATTTCAACAAGTACGATTGAGTCGTTTGAGTACTAAAAATACGAATATGCTGTACGTTTTGTGACAAAAGAGGGAGGTATGCCGACTGTTACAAGCAGAAAACTGACTCGGTGTACGGGTTTTCAATATAAATTTCCAATCATAAATATCTTGAAATCAAACGAGCGATTGGCTTGTAAAACTCATGGGATTCCTGAATGACCTTAAGGTTTATTAATATGATTGCAGCTTGAGCTGACTAAAGAATTTTGTTTTGGATCCGAGGCATGTTTTCCAATACCTTAAAGCCCGTCTGCACATATGATTGCAGCTTGAGCTGAATATAGAATTTTGTTTGGGATCCGAGGCATGTTTTCTAATACCTTAAAGCCTGTCTGCACTAGTTGATGGCCGGGGGGGGGGGGTTTAACTCCCCTGCAAGGTCACTGACAGGTGGTTATCTCATCAAATCAGCCCTCAATTAACATAAGAAAAAGAGGATCATGGGGGACCAACAGGCACCGATTAGGCATTGTTTGCTATATAGAGGGCACAAGCTATAAGTAGTGCAGTGGGGCATTAAATAAAAAAACATTTAACCGAACATGGGGTTGACTGTATTCGTTAGGGAGAAAAAATCTCAGCCCAAGGGCGATCCAGGATTTTTGGAGAAGAGGGGTAGGCCTACAGTATTCCGAAAAAAAGTCTTGACAATGCATTTTCTGGGAGGGCCTTTAACTCTGAAAATCTCTGACAAAAAAAAACAAAATATAATGTTGCTTTTTTATCAAGGTAATACAGACAAATTAAAAAGTAAAGGTTCTGCATGGGGAGTTTCTTCAGCTCAAATATATGTATTGATTTCATTAATAATTTGGGTTGATTCTGAATTTCCTTTTTAATTACCAACACTGTGTATTATCTTCAAAGCGCATTTCACCACAAAACAAAGGAAAAGGTCTCTAAAAGACCATCAATATTACTTCAGTTCAAATATTGAAAATTTAAGAACTTAACAAAATTACGGTGAAAGTTGCTTAACAAAAAAGCCATCTTTGCCACTGATGAAGTTGCCCGGCAACTCTGATGGTAACATCGCGATGCAATGACCTGATGGTTTCATGATTCTTTTTGCAAACAGGATAGGGGTAAATATTATAATGTCACAAATAGCATTCACCTGGCCAGCAGGGAAAGGGTCGGATTCAAAAGACGGCTTTACAAAATGTCATGCTCTTTTCCCCCGCGTCATCATCAAAATGACATGGCATACTTGGTTTCAATACTTCCATCACATTTAGATCAACTGTTAGGAAAGTTATTAAAACATCGCACAAAATACGTGACAACATATGTGTTCATACAAAAGCTTGCAATATAAAAAAAAACTTGACTCCCCTTTCAATCAATCACTATTGCTTTATCAAGCTTGAATATCATAATTTTGCGATGCTCTAAATCATAAGTTTGAGGAAAGTCGAGGTCCCTGAAATAATTGATTTCATTTCAGTTATGTAACCTTTTATCAAGGAAATTGTTCTGGGATCAAAAAGAATATTGCTAACAAAAAAATTCGTCAGGAAACATGGGGTTCTATCATCCCTCCACAAAAACAACTGTACTGAATGTATGACCTGACGAAACATATATATATATATTAAACGAACGATTATACTCTGTTCAAAAAAAAAAAAATCTTTATAAAGATTAGCACGGAATTTGTAGTTCCACATTAAATTTATTTTTCATTTTGATTCATTTTTCTGGTTCAACCAATGCTAGAACAGTACTCTATACTCACCCAAACTGCAAATGACTGCATACAATTAACAACTAATTTATTCATACCCTTCACAAGTTTTGATTCATCAATTGATTCATCCTGATTCGTTTTTTGAGAATGTGACATAGCTTACATCTAAAAGTACTCAAGAAAGGCCCAAATTCAACCAGTACACCTTTCATTCTTGAGTTGATAAAAACAGAAATAAGCATCAAATTTACAAGGGGTGTGAATAATTTAGTCAACCGTATATCTTACAATTTTGTGAGCATTGAATTAGTCAGAGAATCCTACGACCTGTGTTGTACTCTTACAGCTTTTAACACTAACTGAAGAAAAGAGATGCTCAGTTTGGTGTCTGATAAAGGCGAACTAGATGCATAAAAAAGAACACTATTTTACCACCGCCATGACCTTCCTAAACACTGTGTATTCTTGAAAGAGTCAACAATACAAATTGTTATTCAAAAATTGTATCTAAAACATAACACACAATACAGTAACCAATCATCTGTCTAGAGACATAAAGCGAATAGGAACATTTCATTTCTTCGTACTGTCATCAAAAAACATTATTCTCTTTAAAAGTAATCTCATTTCATCACTAAAACTATTTTCATGAACAACTCCATCATTATTCATCACAGCAATATATACATGCAGCTATTGAAATGTACAAGCCTTTCTTTATTAGTATTAATTTATACCAATATACATTATATTACACATACTGTATATTGTATCCCCAAGGCCCACACGTTTTTTGTTGCAAGTTTGGTCTCAATAGACATACATTGATCAACTGAGATAATTCATGTCTGCATTATCATCTCTCCATGGTATATCCGTTGTCAAGTGTTCAGATAATACAAATGATGATAAAGCTGGACCAAGAGAATTACATGTACTAGCTAGTAATTTCATGGTTTACTTAACTGTTTTGGGCATGTGTTTGCATCAATTTTGGGGGCCATGAATGCATTCACCCACAGTTTTTTCAGCAAAATAAAAATCTGGACCACTAAACTTTGAGTTAGGGAAAACAATTATGTGTCAATGATTTTTTTTTAGTAGCACCTTGCCATGACGAGAGAAAGGGTAAGTTTATGCTATATAAATCATAATTATCATTATTTATACTGATTCACATCTTCTTTTGATGTTCCTGAAATGAACGTTGACAATCTCCTGGCTGTCCCAGGTTCACATCATCAATGGAGACATAGCAGAGAAATCAATTTATAACCACATATACCTGAAAGGATGTGTATACTTTCCTAGGTTTTAACTATCAAATTGCATTAGTACACAGGTTTAAAAAAGAAGTATAGTTAAAGTACTTCCCCTTTGAATAGAGTGGCCAGATAGAAGTCTTTTGGTAGAAAAATATCAATCATTATAGTCTTGTAAATGAAATACCATTGGTCACCTTAATCTAATCTGTATGTATTTATGGTCACGAGTGGCCAGAGAGAAAAAAGACAAACAAATCTGCATGGCCACTCCTCTGGGCCTATACTTCTTCTTCGTGTAATCTTCAAAGGGCCCTGAACCATATTGCTAAGCTAGCATTTTGAGGAACTTATATTACCAACCTTGCTCAGCTCTGCAAGATAAGTTTTTTTCTTTTTAACTTAATGGGATAGAAAAGCTTTAAAAAAGTAATGAGGGCTGAATTAATATCCTGGAGGAATTCACTCTATATTAGGTTGAAATATCTTTCAACCCCCATATGAGCCTTGGGGTTACAATTTATACAGGCATATAGCATTACATCAAATATAAATTTGTAAATCAATAAATTAATGAATAAATACACTCTTCATCACAGATGAGAGTAAACACTTCTCAAATTCTTCGAACAGCAACCTGAAAGATCACTTCCATGAAACTTATGTGCATTTCGCAAGTTGTCCAATGCCTCGTGCTGGAAAATATAATCACACTATTGAATATGTTTAATTCTCAATGTTTCTTCCTTTTGAAACTTGTACAAATATTGTCTGTCTTATCAGATTAGTTACAGTGTGTATGAAAACAAATCCTGACATTTTTTAGTTTTTCTTGGAACTGAGAAACTGTTTGGTAGTACTTGTTTGATCACTGAGAGATTTATTTGTACAAAATAGAAAATAGCCCTCTCCATTTAACCATGTTGAACTTCGATCAAACATAATTGGCCCGTCGTTTTAACTAAATGTTTAGGATCTTTTTTCTGCACATTCAACATTTTTGTGATCTGTTATAAAAGTTTTGATCAGAGTCGAACAATTTTCATGCAGTACATTCAAGAAAATGAGCTTGTAATTTGGTCTTGTAAGAATTGCGTCATTCTTCCTGTAAAAGGCTATACATGCACCATATAAGTCTAGTTTTTGGTCATAACAGTGTACTGAAATCTCTACCTTCAACTTGTAAAAATACTTGCAACTAAAAAAAGAGACAGCGCGATGACCAGCCAAGCTTCGCTCCTCGTCAGAAAATGCTAGAAAAATCTCCTCTTAAGAGGTCTGAGACGGCAGCATGTCAATCTTTTGGTCCTTACGCAAACACGCCATCGCTGTGACCCTCTGCTATACGGCTGGACCAGGCTTGTAAAAAATGTTCCAGAACACAACGAAGAGAATAAAGATGATATAGACTACCATAGCCAGCCACATACCAAGACGTTCATGCAGGCGCTGCTCATAGTTTTTGAGAATAAATAGGCCTATCGTAAGACCAATCGTAACACCCATGAGATGAGCGACAAAAGAGGCCGCTGTGCGTAAACCAGAGTATCTTCGATAAACGGCCAGGCCAAAGTCAGCGCTTACTGCAAAAGAAGAGAAATAAATGTATTTGTAATTGTGAATATCATCTTCAAATTGGAAGGAACATGATTTTTTTTCTAGCCAATACATATATGATCACTTATAAAACAGAGAGAATTATCATTAACTTACGAACATTGGATGAATATGATTCCTGATAAAGTCTTGAAAAGATTGAAAAGAATAGTTTCCACATTTTCAGTAATTAATTTACAAAGGGTTTGTAAATACCAACTAATCTTTGCATTGAAATATCGAAGAATACTTCCAGCAACAAGTGATAGTTGAAAATCTTCATATTATAGTGACTGCTTTACTTATAGTCCATAGTGTTTTCATTATGTATCTATCAATGCCTCCAAAGTCACATCTATTATTGTCCCATATCAATAAGCTAATCAAAAAGTTTTATTGCACAACTAATCAAATAAGAACTTTCTCATAAAACAGCCGAATGGAACGCCTACTTCATTATAAAAAGATTGCAAAGTGGCTAATTATAGGGGCTTTCCTATATGGTGTTATACTAGAGTATGTATCATACAGCTGTTACATCAAGTTTTGTAATTATCATTTGGTCACTTTGTCTGTGGCACATCGAAATATGTTACAAAGCGTACCCCTTGACAGCATTTGGATAACATCTTTTTTATTGAGTTAGATAATCAAACCAACTCTTAATTATATATTCCTATTTCATGGGTATTATTTGTCAAGCAGTTGTTCTGGATAATCCCATCACATAAATGTTACCTTAATTATTGCTTTATATAGGACTGACACATAAATACAATAATTGTATTTTTTAATGTTATATCAAAATTCATAACTGTTCGGGTTAAAATATATTATTTAACCATTAGGCTACAAATAGAAGTACATGTACTTGTATATTACTTTAATCCAAACACTGACAAGGTAATTACTTCAAGCTTATAGGTCAGACTTACTTACCACATACTATAACTACTGCTATTCTTTGAGGACTCAATTTAGAATCTGTAAAATGCTGAAAATAAAACAAGAAAAGTAGTTTTAATGTCAACACATAGATAATCAGCTGCATATGTTTCTCATTGGATCAAGTCCATAAGGATAGAAAAAGGAAGAGGCAACCCAGCTAAAATATTACTGAACTTTATTAGAAATATTATAATCATAATGCTGATCAACATGTTACACTATTATTGCACAAATAATCCTTCCGATATCATTCCACAATCACTTTTACTTGGACAAAATTTACTACCCTATATTTTTGTGAGCTCATATTTTACATAATTCTTACTTCAACATTTCTTGGAATGGGAAATTTTAAGGTCTATGGCTCTATGCCATTCCACAGGGCAAGTTTTAGATCATGATTGTATGATAAAATTACCACTTAGCATGGTCTGATTATGGCAGTGACTTCAATTTTACATGAATAAGCAAAAGCTGACAATGATTTTATTTTGTTAATACTGGATAATCTACTTCTGTGTTTTGAATTGAATGACATAAAGGCAGGCAGCATCTTGGTATCGCCACAAGGAGGACATGCAATCAATCCTTAATACTTCAGTGAAAGTTATGACGACTAAATCAGTAATTATCGTACAAGATCAGACTGCTACAATCTATATCTATGCCACTAAAGTAACAAAACATCTCCATATTATTTTCTGCTTCATTGTCAAATATACCTGTTTAGTATTGTATTTCAATTTCATGCTACCTTCTTTTGGAAAAGTTGCCTGACTAAATCAGTAATCATTGTACAAGATCAGGCTGCTACAATCTATTTCTATGCCACTACAGTAACAAAACATCTCCATATTATTTTCTGCTTCATTGTCAAATATACCTGTTTAGGATTGTATTTCAATTTCATGCTACCTTCTTTTGGAAAAGTTGCCTGACTAAATCAGTAATCATTGTACAAGATCAGACTGCTACAATCTATTTCTATGCCACTAAAGTAACAAAACATCTCCATATTATTTTTTGCTTCATTGTCAAATATACCTGTTTAGTATTGTATTTCAATTTCATGCTACCTTCTTTTGGAAAAGTTGCCTGACATAGCAATAACTAATGTAGGCAAGATCCATTTCCTCCAAACAGGTGAATTAACCTGCTCAATAGAAAAAAATACATACATTGTAATACATTTCTTAAAGGAGTACCAGTATATCCCATGAAAGAAGCTTTACAAAGCATGTAGTTGTTTCAGCTTCAGTAAAAGTACAGTAGCTCCTTTTAAAGCTCCACCTCACTAGTTTAGACAGGAGGAATTAGAGCTCTCTGCATGATCACTAACAGGTCTGAGGTGGCTATCTCATCAAATAAGCTCTCAAATAACATAAGAAATAGAGGATCATGGGGGACCAATGGTCACAGATTAGGCCTTGTTTGCTCTATAGAGGGCGCAAGTAGCTATAAGTAGTGCAGTGGGGCTTTAAACCAGTCGACCTCTCCCGCCCATGAACAAGAGATGAAGCAGTTGAACTTACAAGAGCTACATTGGCAAGGTGAGCTGATAGGAGGGCATAGGAACCAGCCGATGCCCCCACAAGGTAACTTCTTCTGTCAAATACTGATGTACCCATTGAACCTGCAAGTCAAAAAGGAAATGCCGGTAGATCAAATGTCAAGTTTGAGTTCATTGCCGCCCTCTATTGGGAACATTCTTGTTCAGATAGTGGAGCACATCTATTGTGAATGTAGAACTCCTGAAAGGGTCTTGTAATTATCATATTATCTTCATATAGCAATCGTTCTAATCTACATATATGTCCCACAACACGGGACAACCCAGATTCTCTATAAATTTCTGTCTTTAGCTGTTCTAGTGACAAGAAGCTTGTGAAAGACATTCCTGTCTTTATGCCATTTATGTTTTAGTTGGTCTAAGGCTGCAGTAGTGGAACAGAAACTAAGCCACTGACTTCAATAGTCGTGCAGATATACTATCAGGCATCTATAGAACTGGTAGCAAATTAAAAGAAACTAAAAAGTCAACATGTGTGGAGCAAGACATGGGGTAAAAATCTATCGTGGAATAACTAAACAATAGCAATAAGAAATGTAATTTAACAAACTTGGAAGGAAAACTTCAAGAAACAAAATAAATTAACGATAAGAATTGACAAAAGTAACAAATTGCCAACGTGAAATGAAAGACAAATAATACAACAATTTTAGAGAAGAGAGATTGTGTATTAATATCCCACCACTGCCATCAAATAAGAACAAAGTGAAAGCAAGGATTCTAGGAGAATTCCAATCCTCCAAGACCACTATCCTATAATGTATATACCGCTTAGCTAGTTACATGAGTATCTATTAGGCCTATAACAAAAATGTTGTATTGCCATTTAGGTGCCAAAACATGGGTCGGTCGGTCAGAATTTTTTTTTTTTTTTTTTTTTTAACTCGCTCTTTTGGCTGATATTTCTCAGTTTTGAATGCTTTAATACATTTTTTCTTCTCAAAAACAGTAAAAAAATATATAAAACTATATAAAGCCGACCATATATTTCAAGATTTTTGGGTCAATCACAAAGGGCAATGGTCCGCAATACAACATTATTTTTTTTGTAGGCCATATGAGGGGTAGTTTGTTTATCTTCCTAGGGGGAGGGGATTAATTGTATTAGGCAATAGTTGCACAGGGGAAGAGGCAATTGTCCTAAGAGTATTCTTTTTCATGGGTTGTTTTCTGGAGGTTAGTTTTACCAAGGATTATCCTAGGGCATAGATGTATGTGGTTAGTTGTCAAGAGAGGTAGGGGTAATTGTATAGATGGGTGCGGTCTGGGGGACTAGTCGAGGGGGTAGAAATCCTACTAAGCATAGTATTAGATTTACCAGAGTTTTTTTTACTGGGGAACGAACATGAGTGTGTATATAATCAATGAGAAAATCAACACTAAAAATCTTTTCTATGACAGAGGTAAAGTTAAATGATCACCCAAAAGCTGAAAATCCTGTCTTTATTCACAAGCCCCGTCTCTTCACATACCTGTATAGTTTATTACTAATAGGTAAGGCATCGAACATATTCTAGCCAAATAATTGAAATAAATAAAATGACAAGAAAACAACTGTCTCACCAGCAGCTATGCTTATGAGGTAGAGGGTGCCAATTCTTCTGGTTCCGTGGACCATCTCTAAAGGAACTCCCAATAACATTTGGACAGAAAAGTTGAAGATTATATGTTCAATGCTGAAAGATAAAAAGACAAACTGAAATGTAAGTACTGATATTTGAAGGTTTGACCTTCATAGTGCCCATTAAGTACCCCCAAAATGCATCATAACTTAAACATCATTAGACTATAACAAAAAAGGTGTCACCTCCCTTGAGTGTAATGACACATACAGTCTATCTTTTACTGTGATAACAGGTTTAAAGAAACACAACATGTATCATAACGTTCAGAGGAACTAAGAAGGGATTTAAATTTCAATTATTTCTTAAATTGTCACTGTCATTAAAACAAATTGGATATGATATACCTGTATAATACCTTACAAATCATGAGCCAGTTTGATTATTGAAAAGACAAATTCATATTAGTCCTGAGATACTGGATACAATACCAGAGTAACAGCTTACAGCACTGAAAAGGTCTGGGTGCGCTGATACACATAAATTGTGTCAAAAGTTACTGACACAAGTACACAATTTTTCATTAAAAAGAAAACAAACATTCAATGTGTACTTGCCCTCCATGTAAAAGAATATAAGAAAAAAATCTCCAAAACTGTATTCTCTTGTCTGGATCAAAGACTAGCCAGCTGTGCTTTGGAAGCGGCCCTGTCCAGATATCTGCTGCCCTCATGGTTGAGTTGGTGTCATAGCGCGTTGCGTTCATCGTTACCCCTACGTAGAAACCTAGCTACGGAAGGAAGAATGGGGTGATAGAGAGAAAAGAAGACTATTATCTCTGAATGTAAAATAGATAAGATGTTGAGAAGGACATAATATATAAACCATCGCATCAAGATGCCTTTAATAAAAACAGAAAAATTGTATTTGAGTGTTAGCTCTGCTAAAAGACGCATTTTACAGTCTAATCCTTTGTAGGTTTTCCTAAAGATTTCACAAAGCCTCTCCCATTTTCTGCTTTGATTAAAACAAACTTTATTTCATAGAATACTTCCCCCTGTGTCTATGCCTTCTATAAGAAGCAGCTGGTGTCATTCAAATTCAAAGCGTTTGAAAATATCCCAAAAGATAAACTTTTGATTAGATTTTCTACTCTTAAGACATGTTTTGGCTCATACATTTGTATAAGCCTCATACAAAATGAAAGAGTATAATTCAAAATTTTGGAAGAGCAGCTAATTACAGCAATCAGAGACTGGATTAAACCATACCGAAAGTTGTGCTGATTAGATTTGCAATCTATTAATTAAACACCTTTCTACTCCTTTTCAAAAACAAACACACAACTGTGGTGCGAAAAAATTTGCAGTTTCTACAAGTTCATTTTTTGGGTGACTTTCACTTTGTATTTCAATTTCTAGGTTATCTGACTTTCTCTTATTTGGTGTCAACCAATTTTAGATTTGACAGATTACATTTCATTATAACAACAGTTAATGCATTAAATTTTCCGCATAAGAAAATAAAATGTATAAACTCCATGTCTGACGAGAGAATCAAAGTCTAAAAACTGTTTGGCAAAATAGAATATTAAGGATTTCAAATGAAAAGCTGATGAGTTAATAAAAACTGCAGAAATGCATTACTGCTGCAATAAAGTGCAGTACACAGTCAATAATAACCAACTAATCCAATCTATATTTGTTTTAATCTTTCTCTCATAAAGTGATGTGGGAGCACACAGACACAGCTCTATCTCAAGTCTATGGCACGGAGGTGAAGAATTTAAAACGGAACTCTACCAAAATCACAGATTAGTTGACCTCAAATTGGCAATAGCTAATGATCTGGATTCACCCAAGTACGGCTCATTAGACAAAGGATATGAAAACTGATGGATCGGAACCAATTGAATGGATTCTAGCCTAGTTTTGATGAGAGTCAGAATTAATCATTACCCATGAGATTATAAGCGCAATTTTCAGGTGGATTTTTTATTATGACTGCTATATGAATCAGGTGTACACAATGTCTGCATATATATTATATTAATAATGACTATAATGACTCAAATAACAATCAAGAACTATGAAAGTGTTACTGTAAACGCTGTTATTTTCACGCGATTAATTTTTCGCGCTGAGCGAACCCAAAATATTTGCTGGTTCTTAAATTCGCGTTACACCAAATTCAGCCTGTTCAGAACACGCATAAGAAGAAATTTTGGCGAGTTCTAAAATTCGCAGACCCAGACTTTAGTGCAAAATCCACAAAAAATTAATGTACTGACAAATATTTCCGCGTTTACAGTATACGATAATGACATACAGAAGTTATAGGTATAGCAAAGTTCTGATAAAGATGAGAAAATAAAAATCTCATTTTTTATATTCTTATGTGGAAGAATGACCTAGAATCAATATCACTTGGAAAGGAATACTCATGAAATATTTCATTTTGCAAATATAACTTGGAATAGCTTTCAAATTTTAGGCTAGATATGTGACAACACATGTTTGGGAGGTCCCTGCTAAGTTCTGGGTGTATTTATTTGGATTGGCTGGCAAATTTTTACCAAAAAAAGTTTATTGAAATCATTTCAAAACCTCATCATACACAATCATTACAGTTGTCCAACTACACAATTAGCTATTTAAAATAATTTCTAGAGAAAATTGCAAGACCAATACTCAATAACACTTAGTAGTTTGGAAGATAGTTCTAATCCAACTCTTTTGAGTACAGTAGTTTCATGAAGCTTATGATGAAAGACATCCTATACCAAGATGTGATAGAATGAAAATGCAGAAGAGGTCTTAGTGCACAGGCTATTTTAAGCTACTCCATTATTCTTTCGCACATGGACATATAAGTTCATACAACATTTGAAATCATTATGAATTGCCTTAATGGCATCATCAGTCTTCAAAGTCATAATTTTCGGACTCCTCTGAGTAATATATTATGAAAAATGATATCTGTAATGATCCTTTTGACAAATGTGAAATCATGTCTTAGGAAAAGCTAATGGATGAAATTGCCATTTTGGGGATAAAAACTCCAGGAAATGAAACTACTTGTTTTCAGAGCATTTATCACCTCAATCCAAGTGACCAAGAAGATTAGGATGGGCGGAAGACACCAGGTAAAGTTGCATCGAAAGTAGTTCCGGTCTGTCTCGTTGGTTAGGATCTCGTCGGCAACCATCTTGAGAAAGCGCTGTTGATAGGTGAGGTTGCGGTAATCGTCTTTCTTGAAACTGACGCTGCTACCGTCGATGCAATCAGTCTCGCATTCCTCGTAGCGTGATCGGACGGCAATGGAGAAACTTAGGGATCTCTTATCACTCATCTGAGAGATAATGTTAGTTGATGAAAAAAAGAAAGATACAGAATGATAATTTCATCAACAAGTAAAATGCTGGTAGTGCAGGGATGGTTTTAAATAATAACTCAGAAAGATAAAGTAAGACTTAAAACTGTGCAAAGGAATGGTTTTCACATCTTTGTTTATTATTACATTATACTTCTCTAAATTAAAATGACTTGCATTATTAGACACATTATTAAAGAGTAGGCACTAATCTATCTATCATGGGTGGTTGTCTATGATTAAAAGAAATGGGGAAAGGGGTGCCAACAAGGACATCAAGATTATGTAAAGGCATTGCTACCCCCTCCCCACACGCACACACACAATCATACAAAAAGTGGTTTTGGGGTGAGGCAGTTTCACATTTTTGCCTGTGCTCAAATTGACTGGAGTTGAGTTAGTCTGCAAAACAAAGGCAATCATTTGACTTTTTTTTGGTGGAAGGACTAGTACGTTCACCTAGATAGCTTTCCAGAGACCAAATTTCCTTGGCCTGAACTCACAATATTGACGAACTCTTGATAGCTGATGACACCTCCAGTATTCTCCTCTATAGTGGTCTCCAGGACCTCCCTCTTGTGTGGATCTAGATCCTCCCGCAGCCCATACTTGTAGAGGATCACTTGAAAGGCCTCCATGCTGATCACCCCGTTACCATCCACATCAAACTAAACAGAGACAGGAGAGAAAAAATATGAACAAATAGTTAAGGGTTAAAGGTACTCATCTTCTTCTTCTTCCTTCTTCTTCTCCTCCTCCTTCTCCTCCTCCTCCTCCTCCTTCTTCTCTAAGTGACTATCTTCCCTTACTTCTTCTTTTTCTTCTTCTTCTTCTTCGTCTTCTTATACTTCTCCTTCTTCTTCTTTTTGCTTTCTACGTCTTTTCTTTTGGCCCTTCAAACTGTTTAAGCCAACTGAGATTTGTTTGACTGAAGAACCATTTTCGGCATAATGTGATTGCGTAATACTCATCTCAATTATTATGTTTTCTTTTATAAGAGAGAGACTTATAGAAAATTATGAAGGGCATGGTATTTTCTCTACATCATAACTAGATCACATAATTTGAAAGATAAATATATTTCCCTTTGAAAGTGTTCTTTACAAAGAAAATAGAAAGCACTTATAATCAGAAACTTGTACAACTTAAAGCCTATCTGCACTAGTTTGGCCAGGAGGGATCAGACCTCCCTGCATGGTCACTGGCAGGTGGTTATCTCATCAAATCAGCTCTCAATTAACATAAGAAAAAGGGGACCATGGGAGACTATTGGTCAACGATTAGTCATAATTGTTTGCTATATCGTCGCTGTTTTCACGAAGTGACGGTAGTGAAAAAAAATTGCATTCACTTTGCGTTACGATTTTCTTCACTACCGTCACTTCGTGAAAACAAGGACGATATAGAGGGCGCAAGTAACTATAAGTAGTGCAATGGGGCTTTAATAGTGTGAAGAAAGTAGGAAACATACAACATAACATATTTTGTATGCATGAGAAATCTATTTTAATTCATGCATTAAACTTAGTGGTATACTACATAGTTACATAAATCATCCTTGCCCTCCCTCTATGTGCTTCAAGTGATAAACAGCAGATGAATGTGTTTATAATGCTGTATGTGAATGCTCATCAGCCACTCTCGTCAGGCGTCAAATCCCATTCTGAATAATGGATGTACTATTGGCAAACCCACTAAGAATATCAAATATGTTTATCTTCCTTCATGTGGTTCTATAATAGAAGGCTTTACTACGCTTGTTCTACACCAAGATCGCAAATGACATCACGACGCCGGGCGTGACGTCGTTCCGTGTCTCAGTAGACAGAAAGCTACGAGCGGAGGTCTAAATTTAGACTTTCTTTCCAACCTCTGACGTTCAGAAGCTATATGTAGCGTAGAATAAAGGCCACTCCCTCCCTGAACAACCGACTTGGTAGCACAAAGTGAATTGGGACTTCGCAACTCTCTGTGACATCACAAAGAACTGTTTAACAAGCAGGAGCGAAGAGATGACCGATTTTAGACCATGTACCTCCAAACTCATTATAGTTCTTCTCCTTTGCCCTTTTAGACTCATCCAAAATTTAGCGATGTATTCATAGCGTTCCAACGCAGTTATCATACGATGCGACACCTAGATCTATCTTTACATGATTTCATGACATCATTGGACAAGAAATCGTTACTTATTCACTCCTGTCGGTGGGTAGCTGACCTTTCGTCCTAACAGAAATGAATGACGCTCATTACCTGTAAGGTTGTTATCCATTCATGTCATTTGGGAATAAACGGTAGAATGAATCAGTTAGATGACTTAGATTCCACTTGAAATCATGACAGTGATATCCTTTTGATGGTGGTTAATGTATTTCACATTTTTGAGTTTCCTGGAAACTTGGATATTCTCTAAGAATTTCTGTTTTCTTTTAAAAGTGTCTTCTTCGTCAGAGCACTTCTGGCCCGTTCTCATTATATGTGAGAGGAGTTTTTGTCTTGTCTCGTTCTCTAAAGAGAAAAGACTCTCCTGAGTCATACATTTTCGAAAAATTGAAATTGTATTAATTGTATGTGTTGGAACAAATTGTCCCCCACTACATCTCAGAAACAATTTAGATTCAGTCAATTTGAAGAGCCAAACTTTCAAACTTTCACCTTTTATTTCTGAGATTTTTCTTCTTTCCTCTAGAGTAGTTTGTAATCAAGTTTGGATTTTCCTCTAAAAAATGCCAGTGAGTACTGTCATATGGCTTGACATATATTTCTTTTTCTTCTTTTTGTTTAGGGGGTGTCTTTATCTTCAATGCATTGTGTAAATGCACTTGGAGAACAAATACCAAAAATATATTTTTTTAAAATATCTTTTTGAAGGAAAATTTCCATAAGTCTTTCACTTTTGTTTGTAATATGAATTTTCAATAGATTTTAAATGGATAATTTGGCATAGCAAACAAATATCAAAATGATACTTTTAGATAGTAATAATATCATAAATAAATACGTCACTTTGAGTAGATGATACAGAGTTTACCATTCTGGGAGTAGGCCACTAGGAAGCAGAACAGAAACACACATATGATAGCAATATGGAACAATTTACCTATTATTATTTGTCAATCCCCATCTGTAGAGTCTTTTAAGGCAAGTTTGAAGTATTTTTTGTTTACCTGTAATAGTAATTTATAGGGCAGTTTTACTTATCTGTAATGTTATTATTAGAATTATGTATTATTATTGCTGTATGTTTATTTTACGTTGTACCTAATTACTTGTATGTTAAGCGCTTAGAAACATTGTATTAAGCGCTTTATAAATGTAATTTATTATTATTATTATTAAATAGCCATTGCTAAAGTGGCATATATATATCTCTTCCTGCGTGATCATGTTTTCTCTAAATCATAAAATAAACTTACAATTATAATTAAATATGTCGATTAGGCTTCAATTATCAGGCTTGACATTCGTGGGTACACACTTTACAATGCATGTACTTTTTATTTTTGGAAGAAATCAATTAATTTCAAACCCCCCTATTCTACTGATTTATTTGTAGACCAAAACATATTGATAAGGTTAGTTGGTTTGTTTGTTTGTTTTACCTGACTGCTAAGAAAGTATGAGTATGCTTTTAACTAAGCAACCATGGGACAGACTGCTTTCGTCCTCTCCACAGGACTTGAAAATGAGGATTAGTGTTTTACCAAAGGACACTAGCGCATCAAATTGGTTTTGAACCTGGGACCTCCCGTTTACGAGACCACTGCTCTACCACTGATAAAATTCAAAGTCTTATGCAGGATTCACTACTCATGATACTGAAGGATTAAAGCTATGTCATCATGTGTAAGGCATCAAGTTATAATGTCTGGTGGCCTCTGGGTAAGTATAAGAGGCCTGATGATTGTGTCTGTACTATATTCAGTCAATTCCAGACATTATTTATAAAAATGAGCATATTATCGGTTCAGAATTTGTTAAAGTGCTAGTATCCATTACCTTGTTTATATCTGCCAAAAATTAGAGGTAACCTCTGGAGGTTGTGCCATGTCACCCCTTAATTGTTTATATATCATAGCTTATCCTATCAAGCACTGCTTTTTAGTGGACCCCCCCCCCCCCCCATTTTCTCAGAAATTAATAATTTCTTGTAATGATTTTAATATGTGCAAAGTGTATTTGTATAGTTACCAAGAAAAAATAATTTTGTATGAAAAAAATTGTTATACCTTTGTTTATCTTTCTCTTGGGAATGAAATAAATATGAATTGAATTGAATTGAATATACTATGCTATCATATAGTATCCCGTTTGAATCACATCACATCACATCACATCATATCATATCATAACATATCATATCATATATCATATATCATATATCATATATCATATATCATATATCATATACCATATCATATCATATACATATGTATCATATACCATATCTTATCATATCCTATCATATAGTATCCTGTTATACCATTTCATATTCCACCTATCCTTATCTTATCTTATTCTTCTCCCTTATGCTTTTTCTCTCTCCATCTCTCTCCACCTCCCTCACCCTGCCTGCCTGCCTGCCTGCCTGCCATCTCTATCTTCAGGAGCATACCCACAAGTGGTAAAGTAATTACTAATTGATTGGTAATTGGGCACCTCTCCTTTCCTAACTATCTATCACGATCCCTCTCCTCTTGAGTTTCATCACCTGAGCTCGACTTCCACAGGCTGATCTGCTCTCTGTTTCATCACTCTTCATGCTGGGCCTTAATTTCTGCTAGGACCCACATCACACTCGAATGAGAGTGTTTTCAACAGGGGCGTCAGGTTCCCTGTGCAAAAGGCCATAATTCGCTGACACAGGACTTGGTGGAAAAACCAGTACCAGTAATCTGTGTACGAGCCTGCACACAGCAAACCCGTAGGCCTATCAAGAAATACCCCTATACTACTCTCTCAAAGAGTCTCCAGGTGAGGGAAAAGTAAGATAATGACTTTATAATGTATGGTGGGATGGATGGAAAATGCAAATCATTGCATAAGGCCTGTTGGTCATAAAACTGGCAATTAACAATACCGTTATTGGGTAAACACCCAACCATAGTTGAAATCCCCATGAAAGCCGACTCCTACAGGCTTTAACCTGCTGCTGTGGAATGAAGGGCAAAGAAGAAATAAATCCTACCAGATACACATTAAAGGGAAAGATGAGTTCTGGGAAAGATGAGTTCTGGTAAAGATGACAAATAAATTGTGAGCTGTCTCTTTCTTTCATATGCTTGTCAGTTTGGAAAAATATTTCACTAGAAATGACCCCTGAATAAAGTGGGTTGCTCTTCAAATGTCCTATTTATTCACAATATGACAAGAAATGACTGAAAGTTTGGTCCAAACATTTGTCTGTAATCACATTTGAACAAATCTCTGTGTGGTGCACGAGGTACGGTAAACATCAATATGAATTTACATAATCTTTTTTTTTCAATCAAATATAGACAGTTCCTTTCATAATTTAATTCCATGACGAGAACTCAACTTTATCTTAAAGGTACTATTCAAATACTGTTCACTGAATCTATTAAAATTTGATCCAACCAAGAATGCTTTATTTTTACAAGCATAAAATTGAGCCAAAGTGTCTTCTACTTTACTTCTGAAAATACGT